CGCCATAACTGCTGCATATTCACTATTTCCATTCTGATCGTCGTCTCGACGGATGAATCTTGCTGGCACAGCTCCCTCTATTGAGCATGATAGACTGATATATTCCTTCCTTTAAGATTCTGACTGTTAATCCGTTAAATCGCATCCAACACAGGCTTCTTTTCACAAATCTGAATCTGAATCTCCTAATATCTTGATGGATCTTTGGTTCGATGATCTCGTAGATCTGGCTGGATCCTCGTTCGATGATTTAATCGTTTGTGGATCAAGTGAGCACGACGGCGAAGCATACGCACTCGATCTGCATCGGCCGTAGTAGCAGGGAATCGTAGATAGAGGTAAACTATTTGGATTTTTATGATGCTGAAAATTTCATCTGAGTTAGGGTTAGAATTATGGTCTTCCTTGCTGCTAGAATCCAGAGGAGAGATATATGAAAATTGAGCTCTTAATAACAGGCTTGTTGGATGTTGTTTTTGTTCTTAGTTATGATTTTGTTTTCCTCTTCCGTCGTCCGGTGGATCTGATCGGGCAAAGATTGTGTCTCCTATTTTCATAAGAAATATAAAACCATCGTTATTCACCTCCTAGTCTGCTTTATCTACTTCTTTGTTGGCTTTAAATTTCCCTAGTCTAACTGCAAATGTTCATCTTGAATTATAATTACGTAACTTCTATGTTTGGTTCAGTATTAAAGAACATAAAAATTCATGATGCAAATGGTAATATTATTGGTTCTTTAGTTGAGTTTTCTGTTTATTTCCTTTATAACATCCTTTGTAATTCCCACTGAGAGCTGAGAGAACATCTTTTTTTTTTTTTGAAACTATCATTAATTATGTACCATAGTTGGCTATGCCATGCAATAGGTCTGAAAGGTTGAGGATTCACCGTAGTAAATTGGACTCTTTGGTGGATGCATCTAAAGTTCAGGGTTTCCATGCTGAAGGTTAGTATGGACTATGGAGCATAGGAAGCTGTAACCTTTAATTCCTATCATATTTCATTTGCACAATATTATTTGGAAATTTTGTTGAAAGTCTCTGGGAGGTTTTGGGAAATGTGTTGACATTCGTGTCCTGTTTGGTGGCTAATTAGCTGCTTGCAATTGATTGTTTGTGGAATAACTTCTAGCATTTTGTGACAGGAATCGTAGCTGAAGACTTTTAGCTAGAAATGCGTCAAGTACAGGTTAATCTTGAAGCGAATGTAGAGAGAAATCATGCAAGACTGGTGTTGGTGAAACTTCCAAATGTACTGAAAAAACTATACATTTGAAAGATGATCATTACAAACTCCTCCAGGTATGTCTTTTCACATTTCAATTTATATACTTGCAGACCTTTGTGAACCTGTATGTAATTATCCATGGAGTAGAAAACTAGAGTAATATTTAACTCTGTTCTGGAAATGTAAAGTAACAAATAGATAGTATTTTGGTTTATAATTCTAAATGCTTCATCCCTTGATGATCTTGTTTTAAAGGGTGATTAATTGTCCAAAGTAGTTTTTGAATTTAGTGAACTGAAAAGAAGAGATAGACAAGAGGCTGGCTTTTGCTGATTAGGACAACAACTTAGAAGTAAGCTTTGGGTGTTAAAGACCAACCAAAGAAAAATAGCTGGAGATCATTTGATGTTAGTGATGTCTACGAGAATACTGTTGACTGCATTCCCCTAGCAGAAGTGAATGCACAGTAGTGAGTGGAAATTAAAAATGTTGATGAACCAAATTGAAGTTGAAAAAAAAAAAAA